GATCCCAGACGACTCGCCGCATCGCCTGACGGGGGGCTCCCGATGGCCGACACGTGTGCACCGCTGGCCCGGTAAAACCGTCTGGTCCCTCCGATTGACCTTGCCCTTCAAGTAACCGAACAACGTCGTATCCGCATGCCAAGTCGCGCGCCCCCCCGCCTCGCGTAACTGTACGGTCAACGGGGAGGTTTGTGTTTGTGTGTGTGTGCGCGTGCGTGTCCCTCCGCCTCTCTACTTTTGCCCGTCCGTTCCGTCACCGACGTGTGAGCCTAGCCTACCCTTCCCCACTGTGGAGAAGATCAGCGGGCCCTCCTTTTTGTTTTTCTCTGATTAGATTAAAAAAAAAAATTTACAGAATGATCTGATGATATTGTTAATCGTCGATTTATTTGCTTTGCTCGTTACGCATGTCGTTTGAGCCAAAAATAGAAAAAAAAAAATCAAACTTTAGCCCTCCACTTATCACCTAATTCTCCGTTAATTAAGGAAAAAAAATAAGAACGAAAACCAAAAATTCTGCCAAGTGACTCCAATAACCCTAAAATCTCTTTATTTTGCGTTATCAAAACCCCCACACTTATACATGGTGGGACAAAAGTGCCCTCCATTCGTCTACCCCCAAACTTGTAAATTCTCTGATAATATTGTTAATGGTCGATTTATTTGCTTGCTCATTAAGCATCTTATTTGAGCCAAAAAAATAGAACAATCAAACGTTAGCCCTCTACTTATCACCTAATTCTCCATTAATTAAGAAGAAAAATATCGATGAAAACCCTAAACTCTACCCCGTGACTCAATAACCCTAAAATCTCTTCATTCGTATTATCAAAACTTCGAAACTTAATACCAACGAAACCCTAAACTCCGCCCCGTGATTCTAATAACCCAAAAATATCTTTATTTGTATTATCAAAGCTTCCAAACTTGTACACGGTAGGATAAAAATACCCTCCCTTCATTTACCACCAAAAACCTTCAACTTTACCTACTATGATACCAATACCAAAATAAAAATGTGTCATCAATACCCTAAACTTGTGCAATTGATAAAAAAAAATCGGATATTGGTGTTGCAATGGACAAAAATTAAAAATTTAGGATTTTAATTTTTGTCCCACCGTCTACAAGTTTGGGGGTTTTGATAACACGTAAAAAAAAGTTTGTGGCAGTAGTAAGCATACTTTTAGGATTTTTTGTGACATTAATAAAAATATTTTTTTTCTTTGTGTCGTATAATGAATAAAAAACGTATTTTTTTTAGTAATTCATGGAAATGATTTTGATAAGCATGAGTAGGGTGATGACCAACCACACTCGAAAAATGATTCGGCTCCGAGGATGAATAGACACACTCATGTTCCTCCGAATGCAGTGCTGTTCCATCGCGATGCGCGGTCGTTTCAGAGGCCCAGCATGTTGGCACACACAGTATTAATGATGTTTATAAATTGTATTATTATATTATCCCGGGCTTAATTAGTTGTTCTTTTTTTAAACTTTTCGGTTCGCACATGAAATATTAAATATTTCTTAAGGGCTGAGGAGAGGGAGGGAGAGAGAGAGAGAGTTCCGTGTGGCGGTGTATTGCTGTCGTATGTTCAGTGCATGGCAAAAAATAATAACAAATTATTATTATAATTATAATTATTACTATAATTATTGTAAAGAGAGATACGGGTTGACTTGGACAAAGCGGCTCCACTAACCCGGATTAAGAAAATAATTAAGATAATAGCGAAAAAGACCGTGTCGAAAACGACAGGTAGTCTCGTTTTAGGCAGGCGTGGGCCCCGGACATCGTTTTGGGAAAAAGAGGAAAAAAAAAAAAAAGGAGGCGAAAATAAAAAATAAGAATAAGATCCTCGAAGGAAGACAGAGCTTGGGGACCAAGCAACGGGCGGTACATTTGATTTGGTCGAGACGACCGCGCACGTGTCGGGTTTCCGCACGTGCTTTGACTTTTTCGAGGTTTTGGGGGAAAAAATTTTGAGATCACGGATTTGACCTTTCTGGTGGAAAGTTCCGTCGGAAATTCACCTAATTTTTGGCTTTTCCCCAAATGAATACTATTTTTTTTTATAACCAAAAATCGGAAACTCTGGATTGCTCAACTTTAATTTGCATCGTGACGTGTCAACAGCCGGTTATTATCACGCGGTAAATAATTATGAAGAGAAATTGCCCCATCATATATGTTTTGACTATAATTTCTTGATTTTTAAGTGCTTCTTAAAATCTCCATTGTATCTTATCGAAGGCTTCCTTCGATCTTTAGTGTTAACCAAGAACGGGTGTTTCCACCTGAGCTGGCTATAATGCCTTTGCTTAACGACCCGATCGATCGACCTGCTCACCCATGTCCCTCCTAGATTTTTTTTTCTCTACCAGTGGGAGATTTGAAATACCTTCTTATTTAGACATTCCGAAGTCGAGATGAACCCTTTTGAGAGCACGCTCATGTCCACTGCACTATATATGTATTGACTATAATTTCTTCATTTTTAAGTGCTTCTTGAATTAACGAACCACTTTCGACTATTCGATATTTTTCGAACCTAGTTAAGAACGACCATGCTTGAGCACAAATGAGGGGATTATCTGCTTTCTAATGAATGGAAGATACATGGGTAGGTACTTACGAATCTTATTCTGCTTGCTCAAATATTGAATGATTACGATAAGAGTCCTTAAACTTATCACGATAATACATTTGAGTTTCCAAACTTTCATTTCGTGCATTTATGACCTAAAACTTGTTACGGACATCATTTTAGTCATTTCGTTAGCTCCATTAAGTTTTAGTGGATGTAATACCTACGAATCATTTTTTTTTTATTAAACAGCTATGAAAATTGAACAAATAACAAAAATGGCCATATCGTTCTACTTGAAATTGCGCGAGTTTTCAGAAGGACTCGAGAACATTGGAATTGCAAGTTTTTATAGCTTAAATGCATAAAGTAAAAGTTTTAGAGCTCAAATGTATTATCACAACAAATTTTAAGACCTGCGCCATGATGGTCTACTTCAATGTCTAATTGCTCAATAACATTTCGACAACCGACACCTATCTCTTCCATATGCATAGCGAAAAGATATTCTTCGCGGCCTTAGTAAAGATGTACAACACACAGATATTAGGTCTAATTCCAGAAAAAAAGCACTAACTTTAGATAAAGTGATAATTTTGGCTCAAACTTTCACTCAAATCCCAAATCTAACATCCGTTGGCTTGGAACCGTTAATTGTCCAAAGTAATTATTCCACCTCAGTAATAAATCCACGTCTCTTGCTAACTCAATTTAAAGCACTATTCATTGTCTTCTTCTCCGAGCCACAGCTTGAAGAATAATAGTGAAGTTGTTCATGGTCTCCTTCACTTCACCGACAAGTCAAAAAGATCTTCAAATTGAATCTCTCTGACCAACCTCCGCCATTTTGTCATAATTTGAAGCAATGGATCATCACCCATCGAGAGACGCCACAGACAAGATCTACCAAAGCTCACGACCAGAACCATTTTTCTTAAACAAGCCCAAGCCCTCCCTTGAAACTTCAAAGTCTACATTGAACGGACATTAATCAACTGATCTAATTCGATATATCGGACTCTAGTTATGGTCATTAATAAATTGATTTTGTTGGAAAGTATAGTGAATGAGATTCTAAAGCTATTACCTAGCCAAAGTGCTTGTAACAATCTACAATATCTCAAGCCTCGATTCACTTGAGGACTTTCTACGGAAGATAGCATCGGTTCATGGTAAGCTCAAAAAGGGTGGCAGGGTGCATGTTGAAGCCATTGCCAGAATTGTTCTGCATGACTGGAATGAAGGCAAAATCCCTTGTTCGAAGCTTCAAGGGACGAGGGCTTGTTCTAGAAAAAGGTTGTGGTCGAAAGGGAAAAGGAGAGCTTCGACTCGATTCTTGCATCCGATCTCCAATCGCGTTCCCTCCTCTATCACCTAACCTGCTCAAGAAGCCTTCGCCGTCGTAATTGACACTTACGCCGCCATGCCAGAGGTTGCTCTGTTCTGCCTTGTTTTACTATTAAGAGTGCCCGGAACGCTTTGTGCTCGTTCAATCTTCTTTTGCCAGCGACGACGCCTCCAGTATCTCAGCTCTCTAGTTTGATCACCATTTGCGGCCAACGACTGCACCTTCAAAGGTAGTTCACTTTCGTACTCTGTTTTGATAAGTTTGAGGCCGAGAAATTTAGTTGCGGTTCGTGTGAAAATAGTCTCCAACTGAGAATTTGTTAGTAATTTGAGCTTGCTTGAAATTGAAGCTGAGGCTCGATTTCTTCGGTAAGGTTATCGTTCACACAAAGCATTCTCAAATGCACAACTCAGTACACTAGACTCTGCAATCTGAAATGCGAATTCCTCTTTTTCTTTCTTTCCACCCCAATTTCCCCTTCACAATGTAAAACCAGACTTTTGCATCTCCATCACCTTGACTGACAAAACCCCCAAATCAAATCCACATAGTTGAAAAGCTGGTCTAGCTGGAGACCTTTGCCGAGACCACAAATAATGATCCTACACAGAACCTTCAACCAAAAGATGAGGATATGCCGAAAAGGAATCAAGCCCTAGCAAGAGTGTGAATTAGGAAAGCATCACCTTATTGCTAGAATCGCAACAGGAAGATTAGCTGAGGAGGAAGATGTGCCCTAACTTGCTGACATGGATCTATTAATGATGTGGAAACGCCACGTTGGACGAGTAAGGGTGACTTCCAATGGAGGGTCAACGGGAGCAAAATTTGGGACTCGAGTAAAAGTTAGTGATTTTTATTGAGACAAAAAAGAAATTCGGGCTAGAATTATCACTCGACCTAAAGTTAGTGCTTTTTTTTTCGGAATTAGGCCCAAATATTACAAGAATGTTATCGATCAGAACCTGCATCAACAGATAAGTCTAATTCGAGGGCCCTCGAGTTTATAGCAAGTTATCGGATTCATGCAGAGCAAATAGATCTACAGGACAGCCAAATTATATGATCAATGTAAATCCGCTCTACTCAACCAAAGAAAACAGCATCAACTTTACAACATTCAACCATAGTTTTTGGTGGTTCAGACAGGCCAGGAAACATACAGTGTCTTCATTTGCACGACAGACCAAACTAGACACATATATATCGCTTGCCAGTCGAGATAAATCGCAGGTCTCACCTTTAACTTATACAGCGAAAGATAACGACAGACTCCTCGGTAATAAGTTGCAGCAAGTCCCCCTTAGCCCATGGCATACTTCTGGGTCCAGCTCCTCGCAGTCGCCTCGTACTTGGCCCGGTCAGTCTTGTACATATGAGCGATTTCTGGCACCAGGGGATCATCTGGGTTCGGGTCCGTCAAGAGCGAACAGATAGAAAGCAAGACCTGAAAGATAAGACAAGAACCTTTCCCACCGTCTTAAGACACGGGTCTTCTTTTAACTTTGCAACCATGCAATGCGTTAATGGCAGCAAACTGAGAACCCAAAGCCATTTCAAGGATCCTCGGCCAAGAAGAGATCAATCATGACAGCGGGATGTGAAAGTTCCAAAAACTAACCCGTTTTCGACTCATCTTATTTCACCTCTAAGATGTCAACTGCTAATTTATTTAATCTAGAAATAACAGAAGAAATGCATCGCCTGAATTCGAGGGGCAAAAAAGGATTCCGCACATCAAACCACCATATCAAAACATAATTATTCAACTAACACAAATGCTCTACAAAGACTGTCAGCATAGTTAGCTACACCAAAAACTGTGTGTTCCATACAAAGTTCATTTAAAAAAAAAAGATTGTCCTTTGGGATAAAACCACGAAAAGTTCATCATAAAGGTTCGCAAAATTTACTGCCCTCAGGGTCAGGTGATAGTTTCCCTCTCAAGAGTTGAGACGAACCAGTTGACGCTCGACAGCAGAGCTCTATGGCACATTAGCAAGAAGACTAAGACCAAACAATGCATTAGCAATAGTACATAATGCATGGTGGATCTGCAATGATCAATGACATTAACTGTAAGCATACAGTATGGCACTCAGCTGTTTTCTAACATCCATTTCTGAAAACCATGAGAAGACTAATGTGTGAAAAAGCAAGACCATTTGTTTTCTGATGTGCATTGCCTAAGGATAACCTTGCCTCAACTGTAACTCTTCAACAGTATTAACACATCAAGAGCAATGAGCACACAAATCAAGTGGGTTTGAAAGTCATTATCTTTTCAGTAGCATATGTACAATCAAGAGAGCAGGACCTTGGAAATGGTTAAGGCAGGACTCCATTGCTCCTTTAGAATGTCAAGACAAATGCTGCCGTTGCTGTTAATATTTGGATGGAAGACTTTGGTCCTAAACGCTACCTGCAAAACAGGGGTGCACACATTATCATTAGCGTCCATTTCTCAGTAGCCAAAAACTATGACGCTGAGGGTTAACTTTCTGGCCGTACTAAAATTAACTTTCTTGCTGAGTGATTACTGATCTGCATATGAAGTAAACTGATCATACAAACATTCTATATAATCTAGCCAATAATGGATGGAAAATCATGTATAAATCGCTCATGGGCTATGACAATGATCACAACTTAGAAATCTAATCCCCAAGGATAGAAAGCAATATCCCATTACTTAGTTGGCCTACCTGTCCATCATTAGTTATTCCAAAATGAGAAGTTTTCTATGCACAGACAGAAAGGTTAGCAAATGTGTTTGGAAAGGCAAAAGCGGAAAACAATCCACAACCTAAGTGAAGGCATCTTTTACCACAACTTAATTTTGAAGAAGAAGAAGAAGAATACACCCGATGGTCTTACAATGCTCCATTTATCATATGACGGGGAAATAAAAAAAGAGTTCATGATGTCATTCATCTCTTGAGAGGACGACGAGAAGTATAGATCCCATACCTTAGGGGGTTTAAATGGGTAATCTGGAGGGAAATGGATAGTTACTAGAAATACTCCGCCTGCATAAGGACTATCTGACGGACCCATTATTGTTGCTTGCCAGTGGAACATGTCCTCTCCTACAGGGCCTGCCAATAATTTTAAAACAACAAGACACATAATTCACATTTCAGCACCATAGCTACTCTGTCTCACATGAGGAACAAAAGTATGAAACATATTTTCCAGCACATGACATTTGTCTTGAGTCACCAATAGGCAATTGACAGAGAACCCAAAATGTGATCAGTATATTACAACGTTCAACTGAGTTTAATTTGCTTCTGATTTTCCCACCTGATGAGTTTTCAGGTATCTGCAGTCTAGGTTAGCTTAGCGAGATCTTTCAAATTCAGGACATCCGCTAGTAATAACATGAACTGCCCCAGTCTCTTGGCAATAAAACCAATTTGATGATCAAGGCACTGAAAATAAAAAAGAACCAGCATACCCCCATCTACACATTTGGTCCAAGACTTGTGCACAATGGAAAGAACAAAATTATGCTCCTTACTGCCTTCAGTTTCACTTGTCACCAAGCAACTATCGTTCCCAGATGGGCCAATCCAACATGCTTTAAGGTATATAGGCAAGACAAAAACTGCTTTAAGATACAAAAGTAGAAGCTAAAAGAATTGTACAGCTCCAAAACCAGGTCAAACCATTAGTAAATTGAATCTTCATTATCCAAATCTCAGTAAGCCACCTCATTCATTACATCAGCCTTCAATATGGAGTGATAAAGAAAATTAGTGGGGAAAGTTTTGACCTTCAACCTCCACCAGATACAAAAACCTGAAAAGCTCATGAAGAAATTTCTTCTCCTAATCGAGGAACATCTTGAAGAGATACTTCAATGGTCTTCTTTGCCAATCACACCCATCATCCATGTAGATGGAGATGCACAAGTAGCACCAGACCAAGCAAGTTAGTGATAATCTTCGCAACCACTATATTGTCAAAGACATACCAAGACTTGCATGCCTGTCCACTAGTGTATTCTATTTGCTCTTCCCAGAAACCAATTCATTGCAAATGGAAAGATTCTAGCAACAACTCTTCAAACACCATTCATGTGTATGATCCTAGCAATCAGCCTCCATATCAACAAAAAGAATCTGCTTTACTGTCTTTAGCAGGCACTTCAAAGCCAATACATCATATGCAAGCATATTATAAACTCAACCGCCAACAGTAACAAAAAAGCAAGCACAAGAAGAAAACCCTGCAACAAAAACTACAGAACCCGAAGCTCATGAGTGGATCAATCTTAAAACAGTAAAAGATCTAACAGAAGAATTACTAAAAATTACTAAAAAAAAGCAAAAAATTTGTGAGAACAGAAGAAGAAGAAGAAGAATGAGGTACCAGCGCTGCAGGAGGTAGGAGGGTCTTTCTGGAGATCTTTGAGCTCCTTCAGGATCCGCTTCGAAGCCATCGACGCAGCTCCGATCCAAAAGAGAGAGAGAGAGAGAGAATTTCAGGGAGAAGGAGGAAGCTTGACGAAATCAACAAAGGAAAAAGAAAACAATGGCGACAAGTTCACGGAGTCTTGATGGATAAAAAAAAAGGAACCCAACAAAAAAAAAAGAAAAGGGAAAAGAATCTGGTGCTCTAACACGGAGAGAATTTGGAACCCCTGTCGTGGCTTGCGCTTTGGTTCTTGTAATAAATTTTCATTTTTTTTATCGTCTTGTCAGACAGTAAAGTAAAAGGAGCGACCTTTGCGATCAACTTCAAATCTCCTTTGCTTGCTTTTTGGAAATGTAAATGGGGCGGCTATGGAGCTTCGGCCAATTGGTTCGTGGTTCGTGTCCGCTGGGGGCCCTGTTGCCACGCTTGTCCATTTTCCTTTCTAAAGCATTGGAACTGAAGTTTCAGTTTAGTCCAAAATGTTGAAACCTTTTGCAAAAACAGTTCTACAGTTTCACAATTCAACCACTCTTCTTTGACATGTACTCTACTTGGTACTTGATAGATGATATTTCATCCTTTTCTTTTTTCTGTTGGTAATTGGATGATGCATGTTTCAGACATCGATCTCAAAGATCAGTCCTCGCCCCCGTGCCTCGGCATGAGCCTAGCGTCCCACTATCTTAGTTTCTAACTAAATTGTGTTGTCGAATTGTATGTGACTTCAAACTTTGTGACTCGAAATGCCGGTTTGATTCCGTCATTCCAGTTGGTGGCGGTATCCATCGAGAAGGCCACATAGTTTAGACCATTTTTTTACTAAATTGGCTAAATCAAATCAATGTCACGTCAAGAAAACAACAGACCACATCGTTCTTTTCCTCAGCGTGAGAGAGTGAGTACCAGTCTAATAGGATGAACACACCGAGGGTGTCCAGCTTCTTCTTGTTGGATAGCACAACAGACCTGTCGCTGATTGAAAGGCGTCCCTCAATCATTTTGGACCTTTCCTTTCCACACGTGAACTTCGTTTGCTTCCGTCTCCGCTGTTCAAAGTTTGCTTCGCTTACCTCGTTCTGCTTGGCAACATCTGCCATTAATCGCCAGTTACCGCTTCTGTCACTTTACGTGGCAAGAACCTAGATCTGTGTATTTTTACATCTTCTAACAGATTATGATCGCTCCGCTCTGTCACTGGACATGTGTGGCCTCCGCTAATCATGCGTTACAAGATAAGGCCCTTTTATAAGTTGTCTCTGTTACTTCACCTTTGGTTTCTGAAAAGCAATCGCTTCTCTCCATTTTGAGCGACCAAGAGTTCAACTTATTATTGAGGCATTGCTTTTGTAGGAGCAAAAGTGAGAAATGGGTGTGCGGATCTTGAAAGCATTGGCCATTTTAAGGCGTTTCTTGGTGGTGTTGTTGCTAGTGATGGGAATGCTGAGCTTTTCATGCTACTCCAAGTGCGAGTTCAAGGCAATATTCAACTTTGGCGACTCAAACACCGACACAGGCGGGTTCTACGCAGCTTTCCCGGCGCAAACTGGGCCCTTTGGGATGACCTACTTTAAGCGGCCATCGGGGCGGGCATCGGACGGAAGGCTCATCGTCGACTTCTTGGGTAATGTTGGATGAGATTCATTCAGATGTTCTAATGGGTGTCTTAAATAGTTTTGACTTGGAATTCCTTTAACTACATGGTTATGCTTTACAGTCCATCAACACAGTATGTCAGTCTCTTCTTTATTTGCCTGAGAGATGCAAATGCAATGCAGTTGTTTAGCGGATGCGAATGTAATTAAAAAGGGGATCACAATTTAACCGCCCTTCCAGAATCCACCGGCCTAGTTTTTCTTTCTACAGTAAATAACCGGTAATTTCGATATAGTTCAAAGAAGATGCATAGCAAAAATTGAGGGTTGTTTAGCGTATGCAAATACACAGCATTTGTCCACATTCTGTCAACAAGTCTTGTACAAGCTTCTCACAGTGCATTAATTACTTTCCAAGATGAGAAAATGGCCAGCCTAGCAATTGCTGGGTCATCATCGATGACAGATTTTGCAGAAGATTAAATTTTGTTTTGGCCGAGTTTCCTTATTTACTTCTTTTTTTCCTTGTCTTTTGGTTGCATGAGATTGTCAAGGATTCTCTGCATTGTCCCTGGAAATAGATCTCTATAGATAAACTTTGCCTAACGTAGAGACATTTAATAAGTCAAATCAATCGCAGTGCATGAAATGGTGAGATGGGATGCATATTGACACCATCAACCATGAGCTCTGCGTGTTTTTGGTACTATAATGTTTTGCTTACAACCTTGATGCGGAAACGAATCTCTTGAATATTTTTTTTTTGGTGAGTGAATCTCTTGAATATTTTCTGCCAGTTAAATCACGGAAAAAGTGAAACTAATGAACTAAAGTGAGGTAAAATCTTTCATTGGATGTGGCAGCACAAGCTCTAGGACTGCCATTTCTGAGTCCATATCTGCAATCAATTAGGTCTGACTACAGACATGGGGCCAACTACGCGACGCTGGCATCAACCGTGCTCCTGCCAAACACGTCCTTATTTGTATCTGGGCTCAGTCCTTTTGCTCTTCCCATTCAGCTCAACCAAATGAAGGCATTCAAGGCCAGAGTTGATGAATTTCACTCCTCCGGCCAGAAGGGTATTTTATAAACTGGCAAAAATTAGTTAGTTGATGATAACAGACACCACAAGTGAGCAATGAAAGATTTTCTGACATGATGTGTTAGTTTCTGTAACATTGATTTTCAGGATCAGATCTACCTTCACCAGATATATTTGGGAAGTCCATTTACACCTTTTACATTGGTCAGAATGACTTCACATCCAATTTAGCATCTGCTGGTATCGGTGGAGTGCAGCAGTATCTTCCTCAAGTTGTGGCCCAGATTGCTGCAACTGTCAAGGTGAGCGCTCTGTTTGGCCTAAGAACTTTCTTCTTGTTTTTCCCACTTTCAACACGTATGATTGTCAACTTATGTAAGCTCAACATGACTGACAAACACCGATATAACTGAAAAACAAAAACCAGACTGGAGCTTATAGAAAGATCGAGCTGTTTCAATCTATCAAATCATGTGTCGAGGGGCTACTGATTAATGTCTATATGATTGCCTGCAGCAAAATGATCTGCAAGTGGGTCCAGATCAAGATGAGGCCCTGGAAGGGACCTTATCTAGAATTGCGAAATTAAGCTCTATTGATCCAGAGTCTAATGAATTAGATGGCCCATACTTGCAAGATTTGTACAGACAGCTTATTCAGTTGTTCCTTGTCTAGGTCCATGCACAGTAATAAGAATAAGCACAACAGTACACTAGCAAAATGTGGTACACTCTCTGTCAATCTACCTTGTCTAGGTCCAAGGTGATAAGATTTCACTCACCAAACTTCCAACTGTCGCAGAGTCGACCAATTACATTTAAATATCGCATGGGTTCAGTTTACTTCACAACCTGCATATAAGTGTATCGATTTGAACAATACGTGGTCATGCTTAACTGGATCTTCTATGTCAGTTATAAAATAGTTTACCGAGTAAATGCTTTCAAATTAATATAAACGTCGTCTTTTTTGCAAATATCTCGCTTTTGTAGGAGCTATATACCTTGGGAGGGCGTACGTTTTTTGTGTTAAACCTCGCTCCAATCGGCTGTTATCCAGCCTTTCTGGTGGAGCTCCCTCACGGCAGTTCCGATCTCGACATGTATGGATGCATGATTTCTTACAACAACGCGGTCGTTGAGTACAACAAATTGTTGAAAGACACACTGGCTCAAACCAGAGCTTCTCTTCCTAATGCCAACCTCATTTATGTCGACACACACTCGGTTTTGCTAGAGCTATTTCGACATCCCAAGTATCATGGTAAGCTTCTGTGATCCTGTCACTTCTTGATGAACTTTGACCTTTGGGAAAAATTGAGATATGATTTCATAATCTCATCATCAAGTTGAATTAATTTTTGCTAGCAAGCACCAGAGAAGCAACCTCCTACTGCTAAGTGCTAGATTAATCAATAGAGGACATAAATTATGAACTATTACAGAATCGAGAAAGGGACCTCTTACTTAACTCTGCATTGGCTTGCAGACATCAAAGTGTACTAACAAGCTAACAACCAATATTTATAACACCATTTCATGAATACAGCCAACATTTTCCAATTGCTTATTTGATGGACTTGGTCTTGTTGAATCATGGGTATCTATATCTTTTCCCCTTAAAATCTACAGGTTTTGAATAATTTGGGATATATATATATTTTTTATATGGTTTGGATCGATTCAGGACTCAAATATGGTACCAGGGCGTGCTGCGGATATGGGGGCGGCAAGTACAACTTCGATCCTCGAGTCTTCTGCGGCAGTAGCAAAGAGATAAATGGCAGCTTGCTAACTGCTTCGGCTTGCAATGACCCCTCCAACTATGTAAGCTGGGATGGAATACATGCCACCGAAGCTGCTAACAAGCTAATTACCTGGGCCATCATAAATGGATCTTACTTCGATCCGCGGTTTTCGCTCAACCAGCATTGCGATCTCCAACCCATAGGTTGACATTTAGTAATCTACAGTCGTGGATGCTGCTGCTCTTACAGCGATGACCCGTCAACTGTATTAAAACTTCAATTTTTCCTTTGAAGTTTTAAATAACAAGGTTTGGCCCTTTCTCTAAACTCCTAGAAATTTTTTATGGACGACGTGAATAATAGCTAAATGCCTTAACAAATATTATGTGGGGTTATTAGGCAATATCCGCTCGCAAGACCGTGCTACTACTTAGACCGAACACTATGCTCACAGCACAATGAACTGGTCGATGACCACACGCAATTTACCAAATGTGGGATCAAAATTTTTCTTCAATTACAGCTGAAAACTATAACTTAATACATGCACCTAAGAGTTTCATGTTACAGGATAGCTCAGCGATCACACATATATCTAGAAATTGTTGCAGTGAGGTCGAAGGACGCCGGCGATATAAAACAAGAAAAAAGCGTGAATACAATGCACGTCCCCTGAAACCCTGCTAGTTCACTGAGTGGTCCTCCACGTTCGCCTCACCTTGTGGTTTAGATGGAAGCAGTATCATGCCATGGAAACTTACCAGCAGAAGTGCCAAAAATTTGCCGGCAGCCAATACCTTACTTTGAGTCATACATTCTCCTACCACGTGTCTGACAATGAAACAAACGCAAAGTCACACCATGCTTGTAAAATATTTTTAATCTCGTTAATTAGTCTCCTTCACAAGAATAATCACAAGTCAAATGAATCCACCAATCTAGAGGTGTAAACGACGTACCAAAACCCTTTTTTAAAAAAGCAAAACCAATCTGTCAATTTCATTTCCTTTCTTCCCCTGGTGGCAACATCCCAGAGTCTTCCTAGGAAATTTCCTGAGGTATCGTTCACATTGAGAAGTTCTGTACAGGGGCGTTTTCTTTTTCCTTGCACATGTTGAGAAGAGCAGAGAAAGGACTAATTATGGAAACAATCCAATTGATGAATCAATCTGCAGAGTCACGGCACATGTTCGTTAGCCTCAAGAATCGGCTGGGTTCTGATCATCGATGCTGAAGGCATTTTACTAGTCTCTATCCAGATCGTATCAAAAGAGACGCCCTTCTCAGACTCTTTCTCCATTTCCTTGATCCTCTGCCTCACCACTACCTTGTACGTCCCCAACACAATCAAGCTCGCACAAAATAACACGATGAACCCACCTACGAACCCTACAACCCACCATTTCCAAAACCTTGCTTCTGTCTTCTTCTGTTGTGGGGCCGGAGCCGGAGCCGGAGCCCGAATTACAAGGGCAAAATGACCTTGACGCCGTGCAACACATCCATTCAATGAAGTCATGTTGCTAAAACCAACCAACCCATTAGGCCTGAACTCGACGCATTGCACGGACTGATTTGATGTCCGCAGCTCTAACTCAGCTGGAGAGAAACTCACCAAAATGGGATTGCCTTTAATGCTCAAATTGAGCTTCTGGTTGCCAACTCCACTTGAATTGGAAGCAGCAAACACCATGAACCCCACAACAGGACTGACCAGCCTATACCCAGGGACTTCATAGTAATTAGAAGACAAATTCTTGAGGTTCTCACACAGTATGGCAAGCCTCTTCGCATAAGGCATGGGAACGATCCTTGGTGGGATGTCGAAAGACGTCAGGTTTGACCCTCTGACCCAAAAGCTCGAGCTCCTGAGCCTGACGATTGAGGCTTCAATCCCAGAGAAGTTGGCAGGGAGGGAGATGTTGTAAACAACTCCTGTTCTTGGTTGTTGCAGTGTTTTGTTGGCATATTCGTGAATGACTGCATCTAAGAACTCCGGGTCATAGCCTCTTGAAGCTTGCACGAGCGTGGATAAGAATGACCACAACAAGAAAGCCACCCAGATGACAAAACCAAAGCCTCTTCGCATCTTTCATTTCATAAGGACCAGAACAAAAGAAAAAAAAAAGAGAGAGGTTCTTGATCATGAATGAATGACTACTCGTCTATAACAATACAACTGACATTCAAGAAATCAACTTTCGAGGGAAATGGTTTTTACCTGAAGCTTTCTTTCTGTTCTCATAAAAGAAAAATGCCATCAAACTCGGAGTCCGATTCAATTTCTTCTTCAAGGACGGATCCTCCTCCTTCCCCTCAAAAGGTCTCAATCTCGAACCCCAACAACAAGCTGCATCAGAGCCAGAATCGACGTCCCCTCAGATGCAGGCTTGGGACATGGAGATGAAGGAGGATTCAAAAAGCTCCGAGCTCATCAAACTCCTCCTATATCCGTCGCCATGTCCTTGGAATGGCCTAAAAGAACAGGAGGATTGAGCTGTATTATTATGGTCAGAGAGAGAATACGTAACCAAATGACTATATGGGGTTAGTGAGATGGATCTGATGATTCATCACGCGATAACCGGAGCCACGCTGGACCGGCACCACGAGGAAAAACTTGAAAGGCGAGAGAGTCAACGGAAGTTTCGCCTTTTCGGATGTCCTTTTCTATATCACTTTGTTGGAAGACTTTAGGACGTAGATGTTTTTCACGTTGGAATCATAGTTTTTCGCGGGTGCATGTTGGGTTCAGGGAACAAGAATGGGGTTGGTTGTGTGACAGACGGTTCCAACGAGGCACAGATAGCCACGGCCCCCACGAGAGAGGACGAAACCAAACCGGTGTGCTCCCTCCCAAAAACAGTCATGGCTTAATTTGGCCTCTTAGGCATGTCTTTAGGAGGAATACGTCTTTTGCCTAACGCAGCATGGGCGGTTAGTGAATATCTGCGAACGCACGAGTATATTCGGCTAGTAAGAAGATGTATATATAAAATTAGAGTGAATTAGATAATTAATATGCGGGACGGGACAAGTTCGGCATGTGAGATCGAGACGCTTTCCGTGATCCGATGATAACCCTCGACGAACGATTCGAGCATCATGAATTTCTTGCATCTGGTTTCATGAGAACTATTACGTACACCCATATTGGAGAAAAAGCTATAATGTACACATTTAATCTAAGGTAATTGAGTAGGTTATATCTATCTCTTTCTTCAACGTGTATAACTCAACTTCCGTACTATTTACAATATCTAAAAGCCGACCAATAGCTGTCACGCACCAGATAGAACAACGATGGGATTATCAGGGTATGCTCTACCACTGAGCTAACAGCCCGTCGGGCGGCAATCCCGCCGAGGCATGCCAAGTCGAAAGCGAGAGAAATCCCATCCCCCTTTCCTCTTCCCCATGTTATTAGGTGGGAGGGGCATGGAGACATTAAAAAGCGGATTCCATCAATTTGTTCTGACCTAGGATTCTCATGAGCTCGGTGTCACTTCACCGTCTAGCAACGAAACAGGACTTCTATCTCCGAGTTGAACTCAGGCGTGGCTTTAGAAGGAAAATGCCAATGCAAAGGAGGTTAAGGCTAGAAAAAAAAAGGAGTAGATTAGGGTTTTAGGCTCATGCAAGAGTGGTCCATTGCTCCAAAAAAGCCTTGTCAAACGGCCAATACTAAGGCGGAGACTAAGGGATGTCCGCATTCGAGTAGGTATGCCAATGTCTTGTCTTTGACAAGGGGCATTGAGAAAACACGTGGGTGTTGCATCACATGAATAACAATATTGTTAGGGCTAATGACTGCATTATAAAATCATAACCCCCGTTATTGTTTCACTTAGCAGTTCCCAAAATGAAACAGTTCAACGACCGCACTCACTGAGGTCTTTCTACTTTAATCAGGCCGACCCCGTTGGTTTCGGTAGGTTTAGAATATGATTCACGGTAAAGTCTTTAAGTATAGAACATATTCCCCACGTCGTATGTCCCAATTAGATATGAGATTCGTCAAAATTAGATTGCACAGTGCGATTGCGACGTCACTTGGGTCTCCGTCTCGGGACATCGTGATTGATTTGCTATGCATTATTATCAATTTAACTAGTACACAAATTAGTTTCTTGTGAACTCACGGACCCATGAAAACCCATAATCCCACGTACGTGTAATTTCAAGATGATGTAGATGTGATTGTCTAGTCAGTGGCCAAATTGGAATTCTGAGTTCAAGCTGATGTGGATGTACGGATTATGAGCTGGGCTTGGGCTGAATCCTTGGGCCTTAGCCAGTTCAAGTAGTCATAATTAACCCTCCGCGTCGCATACTTTTTGTTTATTGAAAAAGGGGAAAAAACCACCAAAAACCCCAAACTTTGTCATCTGTGACATTTTTACCCCGAATTTTTTTTTGTGACACCAAAAACCCCGAACTTTATTTTTTGTGACACATTTACCCCAATGTATTTAGTCCATGGGCATTTTCGTCTTTTTTGCTTTTTTTTTTTTTTTTTTTCCTTTCCGGCGAGGGGGGCCTCGCCGGGGTCGAGCGAGGGCGGCCCTCGCCAGATCCGGCAAGGGGGGCCCTCGCCAGATCCGGCAAGGGGGGCCCTCACCGGCATCGGGCGAGGTTCGCCCTCGCCTGGGCGAGCGAGGGCGGCCCTCGCCCGATTCAGGCGAGGTCGACCCTCGCCCGACGCCAACGAGGGTCGACCTCGCTCGAGTCGGGCGAGGGCCGCCCTCGCTCACCCGAGCGGGGCGAACCTCGCCCGACGCCGGCGAGGGCCGCCCTCGCTCGGCGCCGGCGAGGGCCCCCTCGCCGGATCCGCGATGGGCGGCCCTCGCCTACTACGCGGCGAGGGCCCCCTCACGGAAAGGAAAAAAAAAAGAAAAAGCAAAAAGACGAAAATGCCCATGGACTAAATACATTGGGGTAAATGTGTCACAAAAAGCAAAGTTCGGGATTTTTGGTGTCACAAAAAAGTTTGGGATAAATGTGTCACAGATGGCAAAGTTTGGGGTTTTTTGTGATTTTTTCCCTTGAAAAAATGACACAAATGATTTATAAATTTTGATTTAATGTACGATGACATTCATGAATTTTTAATTTGTTCGATATTATTTTAGAACTATTGGTAAATTTTCAATGTAATTCTTAGACTTTTATTTTATTCAATGTGGTCTGTGAATTATTAGAAAATATTTAATTTAATTCTCGAACTATATGAAAATAGTTAATGTCGTCTTTCTGTTAATTCAAGTTAATAGAATTTGTTGATTTGACTTCCCAATCCGATAAGTTTGAATGATGAACAAAAAAAATTCACACGTACATTATCTACGGGAGAAATTCATCTCAAATTATGAAAAGAAATCACCACGCGAGATATTTGAAATCCCCAATTTGTATTTTAACTTTTCTAAAGTAAATGGATAAAATGATGAACGTGCTGATCCATCTAATCCATGTCATAAAATATTATATGATTCGTCTTTTGAACAAACGGAATGATTATATAAAATATTTACCAATAGTTCAAAGACCATATTGAACAAATTCAAAATTCAAAAACTATATTAAACATGTATTAATAATGTAGAGACCACATCAAATAAATTAAAAGTTTAAAGGCGACATTACAAATAAAATAAAAGTTCATGAAATATTTACTGACAAAAAAAAAGAGTTTATGAATTATTTATGTTATTTGCCCTAATTTATTTTAGGCAAATAAAGCAAGCAAACGAGTGAGTGAAGGAGGGTGTGTGCTTCTTCAGTTCTTCCCGCTCTAGAGAGAGAGAGAGAGAGAGAGAGGGAGGCGGAAAAGCAAACGTGGATTTTGTAGATAGGCAGCCGACCAATCAGAGAGCTCCGTCGATCCACGTGTCGATCGAGGAGATCCGTGTCCGAACGGAGGCGTGGTCTTGAAAAATCCCAGTGGATAATACGCAGAGCTGCTTAACGAAGGATACACAGAAAGCAAGAGTGAGAGAGAGAGAGAGAGAGAGAGGAGATAGACGAAGAGAGGCGCACCACACCACTGCTGAGAGGCCACAGTTTGCGTCAGCAGCTCACCGAATGGCAGCAGCATCCACCTCCATGGCGGCCACCGCCGCGCTGTTGCCGCCCCGGGCGGCCAGGACGTCCTTCGCCGCCGCCCGGGTCTCCTCCTTGCCTCACCTCCCGCCATGGCGCTTCTCTTCCCGTCCCGCCAAACTCTGCTCAGGTACATTTGTTTTCGGTTGAGCGAATTTGAACTGTTCGGTTAAGGAAGGTGCGCGTGTGTGGATGCGGAAATGCGTGGAGTGTGAGTGGATGACTCCATCTTGTACTTTACAAAATCGAAGTTGAATTCCAGACACTAGGAAATGTGTCGTGAATACTGGTAATTCTTTAGCAATCGTTGAATGAAGCACCCGGCTTTTGTAGGATGAACAGTAGGCAATGGATTGGGGGCATGGAGGTAATATCTGGTTGCTAGTTCTGTAGAAAGATTTATGAGGGTACAAGGATATGTTTGCAAGACTGTCAAAGCTGGCTGTAACTGATGAAAGTGCAATGCGGCGATTCGTTTCAAGAAGACTGAAATGCGTTTCGGGGGGTGTGGCGTTGCGGCGCGGCGAGAGAGTGAGAGAGCAAATTGGGTGTGATGCACATTTTCCTCTTTCATTTTGCAAATCCGCACAACGCCTATTTATTCACAAGTCACGAGGAAGATGGGCGATATGAAAGTGCTGAATTCAAGTTAACTTTACGGCCATTATGAGAAAAGGAGCATACCTAATGGCAATGACTCGGGTAGTTTTCTGAGTTCCTGTGCCTCTTGTGGACCTGCTTACGCGGACTATATAATAAGCACACAATTTTACATGTAAGGCTGTTCATTAGGGAGGCAACTTGGGGAGGAGCAGTTTGGAACAACATAATAGCTTTGCTGGGGGGTGAAGTAGGTGCCCATAATTGGTTCGATCAAAGCAACCTATTTTGTTGACAAACAAGTAGGCTGATAGCTGACTGAATTTGTGAACCTTTAAAGAATTGCCTTGTCGTCATTATCTATTTTAGTTTGAGGTGGATGACGACCATGTCGTCTTATCTTCTTATGTTACCAGAGCCGCGGAGATTATCACTGGTCCAGATTAGAGCCTCTTCAGACGATTCGCCCGCTCCAGTTGATGCCGGGGAACTTTTCTCAGACCTCAAGGAGAAGGTGAGAGACTTCACTAAGCCACGATTGCTACTGAAGCAAGCCAGGTATTCCTTCTCTCGTTTTGTGCAGAGCTAATGTCGATTAATCCTCTTGTGTCTCTCTTTCAGTGGGACGGCCTGGAAAATAAGTCAACGGTTATTCTCTATGGAGGTGGGGCTATTGTGGCTGTCTGGTTATCGTCCGTTGTGGTTGGAGCTATCAACTCTGTTCCTTTGGTATGTTGTTTTGTTAGATTAGAATACAGATGCTTTTGTCTTATAGTACTTTGCTCTTCCATAAATGTGGTACTTTGTTCGGCCAATGGCTTAAATACTCTCCTGGGGACATCGTTCAGTGCCATGAATTTTCTAACAAGTATGTTTTCTGTGACCAGCTTCCAAAGATCATGGAGTTGGTAGGGCTTGGATACACCGGATGGTTCGTCTACAGATACCTTCTATTCAAGGTAAAGTAACTAAGCAGTTCATTTTTGTGGAGTCTTATCTGTGTTCGCAGCATGACCCTGAAGTTTCCAATGTGTTTAAGTTGAGGATTATCAAACGAGGAACTCTAACTTCGGTGTCTACTAACTGGCTTTCACTTCTGCATGAATCTAGTATACACACTATGCTTTTGATATTACATCTATCTTGGGCATTAATCTTCTTCAATAGACGACTGGCCGGTAAACCACGCGTACCTAACAAGTGACATGATTTGTTTCCTCAGTCGAGCAGGAAGGAACTAGCCGAAGATATCGAAGGTCTGAAGAAGAAGATTGCTGGAACCGAATAGGTCCACGCGATCGGTCGCGTGTTCGTTCTTTGTACTCCTATGGTAGAGAGGCACCTGCATTTATATTTCGACATGGCTCCTCTGTGAATTTCTGTGACTCTTGCATTTCCCTAGCCCCTCCCACCTCGCCTTGTTCCTTGATTTCATGAGAATCAGAGTCAATGCAAGGGTCACGTGTGCTTAATGTGATTTACTATATAGAATGCTGCTACATGTTATGCATCAATAATAGTGGTATCTATGAACAATGCTTCACTTTTGATTCATGTGGGAGAGCAGTAACTTTCAAGCCACAGGATTTTCTTTGCCCCCAAATGATCAAAAAGCAAATGGGGGCTGCCAAAGACTTCTGCAGTGGATCCTTTATGCAAATTGCAATACATGCAATAGTGGTCTCTAAGCCAATTGGACCAAAGAGGTTGGGACCATTAAAACAATTTAACTCGATAAGTTTTTCATTGTGAGAAATTGTAATTGGGTGTTGGACAAATAGTTGGCATTCAAGCAACCTGCTAATCGATTTCCGTTTGTTTGAAAGAAAACTGTTTTCGAGAAATCGCATTCCGACTTTTCGGCGTTTGGAAGACGGAAAACTAATCGATTTACAGAAAATTTTTTCCATGGATTGAAAATAACAAGTTTAGATCGAAGGAAAACGATTTTTTCTTCTAGTGAGGAGGAAATCACTTTTCCTACACCACCAAATAAATGGTAACAGATTATTTTTCCTTCGAAATGATTCGCATGAAAAATATTTTTCTTTATCATGAAGTTTTCAGTAAAATAAATGCACCGTTTTCCCCTAATCTAAACTTGTTGTTTGCAGTCCACGGAAAACTTTTTTTTGCGTAAATCTATTAGTTTTCCGTCGTCCAAACGCCGGAAAGTCTGAAAATAATTTTTCTGAAATAACTTTATTTTTCAAACAGATGGACCTAAAGCTGAGCAAATCTTGAAATGGGCTTACGAATAGGCCCAAAGGCGAAGGTTTCGCTCCTGCTCCTCCTCCTCCTTCTTGCTCTTCTTCCTCCGCTTCGAATCGATTATCGACCCAGCAAGCAAGCTAGCATTTTTCGCACGCGGACACCTCTGTCGGATCCGCCATAGCCGCCAAGCTCGAAGCTTTGAGCTGCAGTGTAATCGACAACACCTTCCCTACATCCTCAGCTGTCTGTTCTCTCTCTCTCTCCGACAAATCCCAAGTTGCCTTCTTCTTCTTTTCTCGGGAAAATGTTACGGCTGGCGAGACCGAAACCTCTGACGACGTCGTCGTCACCTTCTTCTTCCTCACTCGATTCGATGGCCCACCAGCTGCTCCAACGGTGCTCCGTCAGCGGGACCGCCAAGGGAAAGACCAAGCTCAAAGCGGGCCAAACCCTCAAGCGCTCCAGGCTCACCACCAAGAAATCCCCCGGGCCGTCCGACTCCGCCCCCAAGGGGGGCGGCGGCGGCGGCGGCAAGCGCGGTCCCTCCGACGCCGAGGCCCTCGTCGAGGCGTGCCTCAACGCGCCCACCCCGCTCCGCTACTTGACCGAGAAGCAGCGGGCCCGCGAGGCCGAGCGCGAGAAGATGGGGCTGATCAGCAAGGGACCGGCAGCGAGAGATCGACATGCTGAAGAAAGGGAAGTCGAAACTGGGCGTCTCCGAGAAGCCGGAGATAATCGGGACCCCGGGCTTGGATTTGATCTCGTTGGGACTGGTCGATGCCGATAAGATTCCGAAGTATGGGCTCACGGTCGAGGATGGAAGGCGGCTCGCGAAGGAGTATTCTAGGGTTTTGATGAGGAGGCATAGGGCGAGGCAGGCTGCGGAGAGTAATTTGTTGCGGATGAAGAAGGAGGCGATTGAGGCGCTGCCGGAGAAGCTGCGAGAGGCGGCGCTGGTGCCAGATTTGACACCTTTCCCTGCAAACCGCTTCATGGCGACACTCACGCCGCCAATTGAAGGGTACATTGAGAAGGTCAAGGAGGCTGCGAGGAAGAGCTCGGCCAAGGAGAAGCTTAGATGATTTTGGATGAAGGCCGTGATTAAAGGTTAGAGCTTTCTGTTGTTTTAGGTGCATTGGTTTCTGTATGAAGTTATGAACTATGTTTAGCTGAAGTGTTCCATGTGCTGTTTTGAGGTCAGAAGGGAAGACATTCGTCATAGGTTGTAGCTGATTCTTTGTTGAATATTCATGTAATGCCTGAAGAATGAGCCATAGATGTGGTTCAGGGATGTTGAAATCTTCTCGGTTGATTCGACTCTGTAATTTAGGTGTAGAGATTGGCAGAATGCAGATCATTCTGTACAGTTTAGAGTTTGAGCCATGGTCATTAGCTTCTCTGGGTATGTGATTGTTCGTCCAATCTTGATACAATGTGCTTTGACATCCAGTTATATGCTCAAGAGCGGCAGAAAGAACAAAAATCTCCGTCCTTTTTTCTTCTTATTTAAGCAAGGGATGGTTTTAGTCTTCTGTGATCCCGTTGCCTAGCAAAACGTCTTTTTTTATCTCATTGTCGCTAGTCATGGTTTATGGCCATTGTTTTCCTCCTATGATGTGAGTGTGTATTAAATAGGGAAGAAATCCTTTAAGGGTCTTTTCGGTCTGAGGTTTAAGCAAAATCCTTTTCCTTCTTTGAATGATAAATAAGGTTTCATTAAAAAGGTAACAGGGGGTACTGCCTTTACACAAAACGGCTTCAGGTAGAAGCCACCTATATACAAAATTATGCACAAAAGACTTTCTAATATTTCCAACAAACTACGAGAGTGATTCAACTCAATCCCGATAAGAGCGCTTGATCAACCAAATACATAAATTTCCTAGTCCATCTTTGAGTACCTGATACTGATAGGGTGTTTGAACTCTCACGGCACTTAGTTCTTTGAAATGAGTGAAGTTTTTTATACAGGTATTCAGTTAGTTTTCCTGCATGCTTTTCAATTATAGTGAAGTTTCATATATATACTGATCTTTGTTAATCCATAAAGCTTATCTGGAGCTATACAACAGGTACATATAGTGCGTGTCGTAGTTTATTCCAAGTTTAATCTGTGTTGATTCTCCCTGTATCTTCTGGTCCTAATCTGGACATCCAGATCACCCTATAGATTTTGTGGATGTTGTTATTGTTACTTTCTATAGTCAAATTTTTTTTTTTTGGTCGTGTTCTATAGTCATTTGGACTCGTTAATTTGTCTATGGCTAACCAAGGTAGTAGTGGAATAAGGGTTGGCTATTTGTTTTGCGAGCTTTGCCTGTTGCTTCTAACTTCTTACCGCTGTTCCACGACTGTTTGCTACCATGCACTCAATTAATCTAAAATAAGAAGACTTGGTTGTGTTTCAATAGATAACTGATTTGCTGGTATTTTGTGATGGCTTGGGAATTGCAGGATACTCTCTTAGCTTCAGGTTTGCCATGTGTGCTCCTAAAAAAACTGAATGCCCAGTGACTCATGTTTGACATCATTTGCTTTGCTCTCATGTAATGTCTCTTCGGGAAATTGAATAGTCTAAAGTTGCTGTAATTGGTGTGTTATTCGCGTTCCTCTGCTGTTGAATTTAGAGTAATGTCAGTTTTTTATTTTTTTTATCAATTTTGAGCAGGTAAGATGTGCAAAGCGAGGGACCGTTGGAAACAATGTTAGAGCAACTGAAGCTAGAAAGCTTTTCTTGATTTGAGGAAGCATTTTTCGAAGAGGAGACTGGCGAATTGGGGTGCTAGTACTCTTAGTCTCTCGTTAGGTCTTGCGCTTTCTCTTGTTAGGCTTGTGAATGACAGAAAAATTCTAATAAATTTGCCATCTTTGGCTGTTGGGACTTTACAAATGCTTGGATCTGCCATCTGCTGCTTAAAAGTACCATAAATCTGTTTATTTTGCACATGCGAATCTCAAGTTTATCATTACCTTTCTTTTTCCCTTAATTATTTGCTGAAGTTTTGGAGAATGGTCTGAGTTCAATTACCAACTCAACTTAGTTAATCTTCCCCCTGTTGACTATTCTTGGAGAATTCAGTAGAAACGAAATGCGAGCAGAAGCAAAAAATTTCCCACACAAAGCCCTCATAGCATCTAAAGTAACAGGAAAATGAGATAATAGGAATCACATAGTCTAAGCCCTTACCGTATAATTATATTTTCCTTCTCTGATCTATCTGATCGAGTTTTATCTTCTCCATAAACGAAGCTTATTATCCCAGCATTGCAATCTAGGATGGCAGAAGCATACCTGCTGGGGATCATGTGCGAAAGGCTTAAAATACTAAACCTTCATAAGATTTGGTGGTCATCCGTTCACAACTCAACTTTCAACTACTGTTTCTTGCATTAGATTTCAAGAACACAAGGAACCAAATTCGACAAACCCTGCCAAGGCATGTTTCTTAGAAACAAAGTGATACGCCTCCAAGATGTATTTCGACTCGGCATTAAATACAGACATATTTGTGAAGCTGAGAAGACAAATCTTCACAAATGTAGATAGCTACTTAAGCCAGTTAACATCGGGCCAACATTCTTGGGAAAAAGGACTTCTCCACAAGAAAATTTTCTCCTCATTCGTATAATTTAAAATTTATGCAAATTGCAATAACAGTATCCTCTATGCAAATTGCAGTAGCAGTATCATCGCAATTGCCTCTACTTCTCGGAGAGGGAGAGACTTGCAGCTAAAGAAAATGGTCAGGGCTAGTTAGAAACCAACCACGTTAATATGACAACTGGACTAGAGGAGAGTAGTCAGTTCCTGATGGTAAGCTCGGCTCTTAGATGAAGGATACCGTTGATGAAGTAGTGGCTGTCGTCGGCCATGAAGCTAGTCCACGGTATAGCAAAAAGATTACGGTAACCAACAGCTTTTCCACCAGTAAATGTGTAGTTACCCTTGTATTTACTACTGTACTCCTCCGTGGGTTTCGATCTGGCCGCAAATTCATAATCCACAGCAAAAGTCACAGATCCCTTCTCTTGCATGCCAAGAAATAGCCCAAAGCAATGGAATGAGCTTTGCTGGTCCATGTTGCAATGAGCCGAGAGAAAGAATCCTTGTCCACCCAAGTGGAATGCTTGAGAGTAAACTCGTCCGGACGGAAAAAGATTTGCGCATTCTTCCCTCTTCAAATCCAGATAAACCACACACTGCTGCCTAGGAAGTTCAAACTCAACAACCTTAACAGGTCGATATTTATAGGCCCTCTCCACGAAACGGCGGTTTGATGTTGTGCATTCTTCAGCGGCTAGGGTTCGTTGCCGGTGCGGGGCCTCTGCTTTGAAGAAGAGGGCCTCGAGTACGAGCTTTGATGCAACTTCATGGTCAAAGTCATTACACGATAAAACCTTCTTAAGCTTTCTACAGGACATATAAGGAAAGCGTATGTAGCGTGCGAGGCGTGATCCTAGAACATCACGTCGCTCCTCCAGTACTGGATATTGGCCTCTAGCCCATCTCAAGATAAAGTCATACACTGCGTCTTCCGATGCAACCTGTAGATCGTCACAAGACAGAATGGCCTCGATCCCAGCAAGAGGCAGGCTCATCACTTCTTCTTGATACCTATTTAAAAATGGAAAACATTTATGGTTGAAGCCAAGTTTTTCTATCCAAAACTGTTTACAATTCACTAGCCTAAATCGATCTAATTTGGGAGTCATAAGAGTAGAAAGACAGGAGATAAAAGAAAAGACATTCATCAGATGAATAAAGGAATAGTAACCTGTTTATGTCCTTGTAACGTGCAGCCAGATACTGCTTTGCTGCATCAGTCAAGGGCTGGACAGCTTCGCCCATTAGAACGCTGGATGGGAGCTCTAAATAAAGTAGTGCAGACTCAGGCGTCATGGGCAAATTTCGAAGCAATCGACTGCAATACCTCATGCAGGATGCCACTTCAAATTTGTCAGCAGCCATTAGCACATCAAGTAAAGCAGGAGCTGTATTTGCAGACAGGGTATTGCTGTACATGAAATTCAGAAGTTCCATGAGGGCTGCTTCCTCTGTGTCAAGCAATAAGAAGGAAAGTCAAGTTCTACAGCCAACATGGACAAGCACAATTAAAAGTTCTACGTGCAATGGCATCCTATTTGAAATAATAATCATAGCACATGTATGCTTAAAACTTAGAATTCCTGAAAATAAAAGCGACAACCTAGTTTGAAAGATATTGATAACAGTTTGTATCACATGGGATGCAGCAATCTTATCGCAGCACCAAAAACGAAATGAGGAAAAACAAAATGTTGGTAAAGCATTAGCATATGAAATCAAAAAAATAACAGAGAAGACTTTATACCAGATGCATTGATGCGCAGAGTTACATGCCGTTGTTCGGACTCCCTCATACCATTTGAGAAGAGCTACAAGAAAGATATCAATGCAAAGCGTGAATAATAAATGCTCAAATATAATTAATATTTGAAGTTATCATATTATGAAAAAAGTCACCTTGTAAAAGAACGGACTTTTTGCAGCTAAGATAGGACTGCTGATGTGCAGTGTCCTAATTTTCAAAACTGTGGAAGAGTCCATGCTCCAGCCCGAGTCGTTGCTACTTGCCGCTTCATCGCCTAACAGATTACCAAGACAGGTTTAGTGTCATATGACAAAAGATGGACTGCAAATTTTCTTTGAATACATCCCATGTCTTTGCAGTCACTGGACTGCATGACACAACCACGATTCCGCACCTAATATAATGCTGGATCCTGAACCCAGTTTACTATATTACAACGATCTCCTGATTTTCTTTCTCCAACCATCTAATATATTCTTTTAAATCTTTGATCTCCGTGAAGGGAAACCATTGAAAGAGGAAAACTAACAAGGACACGCACATACAAGAAACATTTAGTACCTGACGGTGATTCTTCAACCATTGCAACTGCATCATCCTGATTTTCATCACAGTCATCCATATCAGGCTCGTTAAGAATCTGCTCCTCAGGGCATACGGTGATATCTAGAGCTGGAAATAGATGAAACAGGTGAATATTTAGCACCGGCCAATGACGCCTAGGTAAACAGGCACCAAAAATGCACATAACATGTAAAAGGTGAGAAAACACAGGAAACTGCAAATAGTGAACGCTTCTAAACATCACAAGTGCTGTAAACAGATAGAAACCGATCAAGGTGCAGCTGGGCCAGCAAATATATCAAGACTCGGCCATTGGAGTACAGTAAGACTGCACACATAGGACTAGTTCATAATGTTGATGTTCGTGAAACAACGAAAGAATAGGTGTGAACCAACTTAGATAGATGATGCAAGTTGCTACCCAGTACACACGCACCCCTTCGCTAGTTCCATGAAACTGGAAAATGTCATGAACATGTACCCTTTAATCCCGATAGTTCTCCATCTGTCTTTATCCTGATGAGTAGGCTGGGGATTTCCGACTCACCAATGTTAAAAGGGCAGGTGAAGGTGCAGAAACTAACCGAAACAAGACAACTACAACAACAGATACTAGTGTACGAAGTCACAAAGCAGAATCTCAACGATAATTTTAAAGCTAGCAAGGAATTTTGTTTTTGAAAAAAGGAAATGTGGGTTTAGATATTGAAATGTATATGACAATGTAATTCCAGTAAAATGGTCTAGTTAAACAAGCAAGCACATCTAGCACGTCAAAGTTTACGAGCTGTGTCACACTCAATACTACATCAAGAACTTAAAAAGCTCCTAATGAGCATTTTACGAAATACTTTTACTGAAATTTTTTGCAGACACTCGAAGTCTGGATTGTAGAGCGAGAAATGAAAGTGATAACTTAAGCACGTCTTACAATTTCACATGTTCAGATGCTTTCCATTCTTAAATATCTTTCAAGGGAAGTCGTGGAAAAAATAGACATGCGTATAGATCTTTTTGCTTGTCCATTTGTGGAAATAGTCAAGGCATTCACCTTCTCTCCTTGACACGACAGAGTCAACCTAAACAATTTTTCAGAAACCAAATCAAGAGCCTCTAGTTTTGAAATATCATCATCACCCTTTTCTTCCACACGTTTTTCCAGGCAAACTCACAGACTAAACAAGAAAGAACCAGACAAGAGATAAGCCACCATCCATGGAGCTTCAAACCGGCATCTAACCACCCAAATCATCACACATACATGCACAAGGAAACCGGAATCAAGACAAAAGCTCAAAACCATCATTTCTCGCCTTGTTCCCACAAGTACCAGCGCTCATCCGTCAAGATAAAGAAAAAAAAGAAAAAAAATGAAAACTTTCGAAAGGGCAAAATGAAAGGAGCGGAAAGAAAGGAATCTGATTACCCGTCTCCTTCCTACCATCTTCTCTCCTCCTCTTCCTGAGACGGGCCCAATCGGCGATGCTGGTGCAGCAGCCCCCCTCCCCGTCCGATCTGCACTCCGACGGCCCCCCGACGACCTCGATCCGGAGCACCCGGTCGGAGAAGTTGCTGTCGTTGAACGCGAACCCGAAGTCCCCGTCGGACGACGACTGCGAGAACTGCGGCTCCATCTCCGACCTCGGGTCAAACAGATCCGTTCCCCCCATCTCACGCATCCCCCGTTGCGAGCACGAACCCACCACCCAAAAACGCAAACCCAAACCGAGACACACAGACAGAGAGAGAGAACACGACGGAGGCGGAGGCGGAGGCGGAGGCGGAGGCGGAGACGAAGCCCTCGAAGGAGGGGGATCTTGGGCGTGAGCTGGCGTTATCTAAGGACACGGGAGGCAAAAGGGTGGGGTGGAGGAAGGCGGACGCTTTTTGGGGGCAGCAGATCTCGATCTCGGGAACTACGTCCCAAAGTTCCGATTTTTGTAGTGGGTTGGTTCGGTTCGGGGTCAAAGCCTCTCGCCGTTGTGCGCGGTGCCGCTGTCATGTGACCAAAGGAAGGAAATTGCAGACCGCCGTGGTTGAATTATCATCATCGCTGCTGCCACACGGGATTAGCGGACGCTGACGTGGAGGGGGGGCCCCCACCGCCCGACCCCTTCTTTCGGGTCAAAAGCTTGACGACTCCGCTGCCGCTGCGTGTTTGTCCGAGGGAGCACGCTCTATAAAAACCGTGCCGGTCGTACGAGGAGAAAAAAAATGGTCGAGAATTACCAGGTCGACATGGAAACAGAGGAACATGGTCATCCTTCTTTAAGCTCTTTATGATCCTGTTCAAGTGTTGAACGCAGACGAAGAGCCTATCTCTTTCCCTTTCTAGATGGAGGTTATCGTGCGGCCCTGCTGGTAAAGGGATCGTGGGACAGGACCGGAGATTATTAGGTCTGGGATTCGATCCCTTAAGATCAAAATGAGGCTTATCTTTTTATTGCCCAGAATCAAGATATGCGCAACAAGCAAAAAAAAAAAAAAAACCGGACATGTATGTGGAAACATGTATGTGGATTAGGAGCGATAGAAAAAAACTACTGAGTAAGATAACAAGACGTGCTTTAATCAATCAAATGAATATTGAGGGGAGATTTAATAGGAGTCCCTGTCATTTGTGGTCCAAAATAGACTCCATATTACATTCATTTGCACAGCGTTCAATCAGAAGTTGACAATGATGCTCCAACAAAAATGTCGACGATTTATTCACATGTTGACAATCTCTAAACCAGCGTTCTATATACGCGCTTCTCTTCGGGGAAGCTTTTGACTCTTTCAAAAGCCCCATCCTTTTGTTCCTTGATGTTCCAGGAAACATGCCATGTATCCCAAGTCGCACATCTTCCTGAAAAAGGTCCAAACGAACGTAAAATGTACACGTACGATCTGAATAGGATAAGCCTCGGGTGCGGGCATGAAGATTTGACTAGCTGAAGACTCGTGAAACACCTTGCAAGGAAGCCCTAACATGAACGGAAAATCCCCAACCAACTGCCAACCCTTGATGTTAAACGTGCGCCCCGTCTAATTTGGTCCTGAAACATGTATTATGTTCTTGTCGTGAAACTGTTTAACAGATATATGTATCTACATGCATGGACACGCAGATTATAGCATGAAAGAAAGGATAAACATATGTGAAAATAAACGATCAGTTTTATGTTGCGGACGAAAAGTGACGATTGTGCGTGCGGGCGTGGGCGTGTGCGGGCAAATCAGAACTCCCTTCACTCCAAACCGAAACGACGAGGGCAATCTCATCTCCAAGCTCATGCAAACCCTAGGGATGCCTCTGGAAATGCGCAGTTCAGTCTCCTCTTGGTTATAAGACAGCCATGGGGTATCCATGAACTAGCAGCTGCAATCCGCCATCAACTCCTTTCAGATTTGGTGTGAAAGGGAGCTCTGATCTGTACATATATGTAATTACACGGATAGCACAAAATGAAAACCCTAATTACTCCCAGGGAGAGAACTTACGAATGAACCTTTGAGCAAAGAAGGCGTTGCCTAGAGTATGTTCCTTATATAGGAGCTTTAGATGGGAATGTGGCTCGTTCCTGCAAAAGCAGCACTTATTGTGAAGAAATCCAAGGAGATCTGGAAATAAAGGAAAGGTAGGTCATGCCTTCCATTGCTTGGCAAAATCTAGGATTGCAAAATCAATGAGTATAATCCTCTTTATTAACTTTCCATTTAAGGGTCATTATTGATTGCGATTTCTTGTAAAATCAGATTTTGGGTCGTGCATTGAAGGCAATCTCAGCCTCACAGGCTTTGTTGGGACTTTTTGTCCAAATCAAATCTCTCTAAAAAAAAACTAATTCCCATAATAGATCGCTCCTAAAGCTATTTCCCAAAACTGACAAATCATCCATAAAATTGCCTGGTCACCCTCTTTATTTTTTCGGTGGCCTAATGCCTTAAAAAACCTTTAACTTTACATTTTGTCCCAATTTTACCTTTTGGCTCATAAAAAATCTCCAACTTTAGGTTATGTCCTAATTTTACCATAAACTTTTTTTGTCCGATAAAAAACCCTCAACTTTAGGTATTGTCCTAATTCTACCCTAAACTTTTTTTTATCTTATGAAAAACCTCCAACTTTAAGTCATGTCTCAATTTTACCGTCCAATCCCAATTTTACCCTAACATTTTTACAGTCTCATAAAAAATCACAAACTTTTATTAGAGTCACAAATCTACTCCCATTAACCCTTTGTCCAAAATTTCTTGTTGACAACCGAGAGATGGCAAATTCCCAAGCACGAGTTGTTCGAGCGTTCTGAACGCGAGCTCTCCGACTGCGAGAGATGGAACATTCCCAAGCATGAGAAATTGAAAACCGAGCGCAAAATCATAAAAAGAAGATTTGGATCTCGAGTAAAATTTAGTGATCTTTTATGAGAAAAAAAAATTAGAGAGAAATTGAAATTGGACCTACAGCTGTGATTTTTCTATGAGACAAAAAAAGTTTATGGTAGAATTGATATTGGACCTAAAATTGAGGATTTTTATAAGACAAAAAAAGTTTATGGTAGAATTAGGACTAGACCTAAAGTTGTGGATCTTTTATGGGACAAAAAAATGTTTAGTGTATAATTGGAACATGACCTAAAGTTTGAAGTTTTTTATGAGACAAAAGTTAAAATTGGGACAAGAGTTAAAGTTTGAGGTTTTTTAGGGTATTAAGCGTTTTTTTTTTGTCGAATAGTCACCCTCTTCATCGTAGTTATTTGTACTTCTCTCTTGAATTGATAAAATAATTTTCTAAAATTATGCCAATCTTCATTGTATTAGCATTAATCTATTACAAATAATTAAAATCTAAACATAAGTTGCATGCGATCGACAACTAGGATATCTTTTATTGGTTCGGCTAACTCGTATCATCCGGGACAAAAATGATTTTGTAAGTTAGGTATAAGTCGCCATGTGGGCTAAGCTAACAAATATGATAATAGACCCATAAATTTTTACTAGTCAATGACAGCAGCTGAAAGCTGATTTTGGGTCGTGTATTGAAGGGTGATTGTTGATTGTCATTTCATTTATAATCCTCGAAATTTTGGGACGTGTGTTGAAGACGATCTCAGCCTCACAGGCTTTGCCAGGACTTTTTGTCCAAATCAAATGTCTCTAGAAAACTAATTTCCGTAGTAGATCGCTCCTAAAACTATTTCCCAAATCAGGCTTCTCACTGACAAATCATCCTTAAAATTGCCAAGTCACCCTCTTCATACTAGTCATTTTTAGCATTCATCTATCACAAATAATTAAAATATAAACATAAGTTGCATGCGATCAACAATAGGGTTTTCTTTTCTTAGTTCTACTAACTCGTATTATCCGCGAAAAAAATATTTTGTAAGTTTGGCAGAAGTCGCCATGTGGGGGCTAAGCTAACTAATATGATAATAATCCCTTGAATTTTTACTAATCAATGACAGCAGCTGAAAGCTGATCGGTTTGATTGATGGGATTAAAGCTTGATTTGAGGCTGGATTGCCCAAAACTCGTTGCTATCGCCTAAGTCGACGCAAATTCATCCGGAAAATCTACGTAGCAATTCCAAACACGAAGGTTTGCATGGGCTATCTTGCACTGTTGTCCTCTCCATATGTGAATCATTTCCACTAGTTGCTAATTTGCTTGCGGAATGAACTTGGGCAGATGTAACTTAGCTTGAAGGCAAGTGGGAAAGATGTTTCTCCGGCCAACACCATGAATGGCGATCCTGGCTCCGTACTTTCCGGGAGGACTTTGGCCATGGATAATGAATCAATAATGACGGTTTCAAAGACCCCGACATTTCTCCAGAGCAAATGTCGGTCGGTTGGTCGGTCGTTGAATTGTCCACCGACACCCAAGAATGCAAGAACCAGAGAAGGGAAAATTATTGCAGAAGAGGGTCGGTGGTCGCCATGGTGGCTTTGAGTAGTCTTGTTTGGCATGCATTCAAATATTCTTGTTATCTTCTGTTTGCTTAGTCATTTCTTCGTGTCGCTTGAACCAGGGGAATGAATTTTTTCGTACGTTTCTCCGTGCTCTTTTTACTGGCGTCCGGTGCAGCCTGTATGTCACTACGGGCATAATTTTGCGCGTATAATATTTCGTATATTTCGATGTTTATTGGTACTTCTACGAAAGAAGAAGGGTGACAGAGGAGGAGGACGCAATATACCCTTCCCCTTGTTGCATCCAATTACGTGTGGATCTTGCACATACCAAATGAACTCTCAAATGCATTCGATAGAAAAATCACGCCACTGTAAGTAAGCAAGACATCTTATTTGCACAAAAACCGGGACGGTATCATGCTGCTCTGACTTACAAGCTCGTGTTGAATTCCAGTTTTTGACAGACAACTGCAGACAAAGCAAGGAGCTATTGTAGCAGACAATTGCTAATCTCTCAATCTATACATCTCGCTCAATCATACTAATGAAGGATTCCGTATCTAGAGACGATAAATAACCGTTCATGTAACCCGATCATTCTGAGTGTAAGCCATAGATGGGAGACAGTGGTGTGCCATGCTCGCTTCACCAGCAGAGTTGGAAGAGCAACTCCTTTCAAGCACTGCGTAGCCCGAAGAAGCTCCATATTCCAATCACCAATATAGGCCGTCACACTCCAAACTGGACACAGGAGAGCCGAAGATCACATGGTCTCGAGATTCATCTGGCATGTCATGCAACACACAAATGTTTGGAAATGGATTAG